GAGGGCGTGTGTGTGTGTGTGTGTGTAGGTTTGTGCATTTGCTGGTCACCTCCATTCTGTTCTGTGTGATGTCTGAGTCGGGTTCGAGGGCCATCTTCGCATCAAACACCTGCTGAGCCTGCACACAACACACAAACACCAACAGAGAGGAAAGGCAGTTTGTGGCCCTCTCTATCGTGTTGCGTTCAGCCTCCTCACCTACCTTAGCTGTTGCCTCGTTGATCCAGTTGAGGTGCATCTGGAGCTGCTGAGCCACTGCCTCAAGGGCCATCAACGCGTCCTCGGGAGCCAACTCAAACACATCCTGACACAACGCATAACACACAGCACAACACACAACACTTTTCCCCTGCCCACGCCCTCGGCTCGTCGCGTTTGTTGCCTCGTGTGTACCGTACCTCCATTTCGATGTCCTCAGGTGTCACTGGCCCCTTCTTCTTGACCTTCTTGACCTGCTTCTTCTTCTTCCCCTGGTCCTTTTTGACCACCTTTTTCCCCTCCCAGTCCGACCCGCTGCTGCTGCTGCTGCTGCTGCTGCTGCTGCTCGTGTTGTCAGACGGCTGCCAGTCGCTGAGCATCTCCACATCGACGGGTTTGCGATCACGACCACCACCACCACCATCACCACCAGCGGCAGCGGCGGCGGATGAGGCGGCCATGGCAGCCTTGCGGACGGGACGAGCTGGTCGGTCCTTGACGTCCATCGCAGAAAGAAATGGGGACGGTCGTTCCGTTTACCTTTGGTTGGCCAGGTTGTCGCAGGCTTTCTCGCTCTCGTTCTTCTCGCTCCTTCCGCGGCGATGGCGTCAGAAGGTGTTGAGCATCGCATGACCGCCCGTCAGGCCGCCATTGCCGCGGCTGAGGCTGCGGCAGGTGTGGGTCAGGAGCGAAAGCCGTCGATGGATGTGGGCGTGAGCAGCGACGGTGAGGAGGAGGAGGATGGGTCAGAGTGGGAGGAGAGGGGCCGCCGCACCACCAAGGCTGCTAAGAAGAAGCAGCGGGTGGATGAGAAGGACAAGGCGGCTGCCGGCAAGGCCAAGCCCAAGAATAAGGGCGGCAGATCTAAGGCTCAAGCGGCAGACGAGGACCATCAGATGGAGGTACGCTCGCACCATGTGATGGGAGGGCACACCAGGGACCGGCATGGCTCGGGCATCGCTCATCTATGGCTCGCTGCTGTCTGTGTTTCGTCTGTTTGCCCGTCAGGATGTGGTTGAGTTGTTTCCTGCCGACCCGATGGAGGCTCTCAAGGCCGAGGCGCAGAAGCTGCAGACGCAGATCCAGCGCGTCGAACACGCCAAAGCAAAGGTGAGCGAGAGGGAGAGGGGGGCAGGGTGAGGATCACCGGAGAGGAATGTGTGTGGTGTTGTGTGTGTCGTCCTGCCTGCGTTCAGGCTAAGGAGTTGTATGAGTTGAAGATGGGCCTCGCCGCACCCGGATCGCACACAGAGCAGAATCGCATGCAGGTGAGGATGACGACACGACACACAGTTGACACGACACATCCCCCCTGCTCACTCCTGCGATTTGTTATGTGTATGTGTGTGTGGCTGGCTGATGATGCAGGACGTTGACCGCCACTACCGCGTGTTGACAGAGATGGTGACGGCTGATGCTGAGGCCCACGCCACCCACACAGACACCACCGTCAAGCGGCAGCTGGACCGGTGCGTCGCCAAACTACAAATCATACAAGACAAAATCGACAAACTACACCAACAGCAGGTCGCGCACCGCACATGGGGCAGACATATCCATTTGTGTGTCCTCCTCGCCCTTGTTTGGTGTGTGCAGGTGGTTGTGCCGTGCCTTGAGGGTCTGCCTGAGGCCCTCTGGATGAGCAGCGAGGAGAAATTCGGTACGCAAAGGAGAGAGTGGACGACGAGTATCCAGGGGACGGGGGTGATGCCATGTGTGTGGTGTGTTGGTGTGTCAGGACTTGGTGCCTTCGTTGGTTTTGTTCCATGTCTGACGTCGCTGTCGGCTGTGAGCACCCACTTCCACACCCTCACCCAGGACAGCAACATGCACCCCATCATCCAACTCAACACCTCACCTTCCAATGACATCATTGACGAACTGCCCGTTGAGCAAAGGGAGGCCTTATGTGCCCGTCTCCGTCTGCGTATCGGTGCTGTGTCTTGATTCAGGTCGTTTCTCGAAGACCAGACACATCCGCATCAATCACGCCCCCACGCCCGCCCTCATCCGTCTGCTCGAGAGTTTCAAGGACAGCATCAAGAGCGTCGACCTGCGTGGCGTCAAGAACAAGCCCGACGACAACCTGCCCCCTCCCCAGCAGCACATCGTCTTCCCGCAGCTCCACAAGGCGACCGTCCATGGGAAGTGGCATGGCATTGCACGAGATCGCAAGTATAAACTCCCGGCCCTCAAGCACCTGAGTACTGCCTCATTCAGCAACCGGGGACCGGGAGCATATTTCTTGCACGTTGGGGTACTCTTGCACACACGGAATATATGGATGCATACAGCTCCCCAAGACTGCCATATATGTGTGCAGGCGTGGCAGTGGATCCGCAACGCATCCAGCGGCCTAACATCCATCCATTCAACCCTTCAACAGGTAGGCAGCACGCGGTGACCGCAGGCAGTGCCCTCAAACCAAGGCTGCCTGGTTGCCCTGTGTGTCCTGCTGTGGTGCATCAGTCGCTCGTGAACGTTACTGCCGCCATCAAGGACACACCAACAGGTGAAAGGATTGCAAACCCGAGACACACTTGCAGTTGTCACTACGCCTGCTGCGTCTTGGGATGACAGTCAAGAGCCTCATTTGCCTCACCGGCTTCACCTTCAGCAGCGACAACCCTTACTTGTACTACCCCTACTATGGCCTTGGTGGGGGAGGTGGCGGCGACAAGGCGCCCGAGGATGAGCTCATCGACCTCATCGGAGGAGGGCCACAGGGAGGCAAGCTGCGCAAGATCAAGATGCAGCTCCCCGACCTGCCGAAATCCAAAGTCATCCAGGTGTGTGCGCACATGTGAGGGAGACTTACCGACTCCTTCAAACAACGGCTCATGGATGGTGGTTGTCTGAACCACAGAGGATTCACCGATTCCGCGCTGCCTGCCTCGCCCCTGACGCCACGGAGATCTACCGCACGACCAACAACCGCATCTCCCTCCAGCTGCCCTTCGACAACGAGTACGGCGTGGGCCCTCTCGCCCAATGCCTTCCCACCGTGCAGCTGTACTGCGCCAGAGCCAACACCGTGACGCTCAGGTCGCATGCAGGGGGGCCTGAGCTCGGGTCACTCGTTTTTCCACATGTGAAGGAGCTCACGATCGTGTCGTTCGGGTATGGTGTGCTGCCTTCGTACATAACGTCTGATCCTCGCGCGATGTTCCCCAATGTCAAGTCTGTCTGGGTCAAGCAGAGGGGACGGGCAGAGTTCTTTGAGGGAGGAGTGGGGCAGGTGTTGGGTGCACTCCCATCCATCGACCATGTCACGTTTGAGCTGTCTACTCTCGCCAATCCCGATGCTACGCTGTGTCTCGTCCCTGCCGGTGCGGCCCATCTCTGTGCTCAAGGCAGGCGAGATGTCACTGTGTGCGTCAAGAGTGAGATCGATTTTCCATCCCCTCACTACAACTACACCACACACGAGTATGATCCCCCCCAGAACTACACAGCACAGTGGCGTGTGTACGGTGGGGAGGGGGACGCAGGCAGAGAGTTCATGGCAAGTCGCGTGTCTCGCCTGAAGATCGACATGAGAGTGCGTCTGTTGCGAAATGGTGACTACGGCATCCCCCCCAGAACTACACAGCACAGTGGCGTGTGTACGGTGGGGAGGGGGACGCAGGCAGAGAGTTCATGGCAAGTCGCGTGTCTCGCCTGAAGATCGACATGAGAGTGCGTCTGTTGCGAAATGGTGACTACGGCCGACGAGGTTTGGCACTTCCTGCTGCCAAGGACATGTGCCGGTCGTTTGCCGACTGTGTCGCTGAGGCCTTCGACAACTGCCCTTTCTCTCGTGTGTCGTGCTCGCTCTGCCCGACTGGCGACGTGCTGTGTCTTACATTTCGCTCGTCGATTGTGTGCGAGGGTTTGCCAACCGGCGATTCAGAGTGGCCAAAGGGCAGGCAGACAGAGAGGGTCAGAGTGTTGTGTTGCGCCCGAGCCAGGCCAAGCAGAAGATCAAGAAAGAGACACGCACCGAGGCAGTCATGAAGACAGAGGAGGAGTAAGGAGAGAAAGGCAGACCGGCCGACTGTTTCGTATGTGTGTTGGTCATCGCATGAATGCGTGGAGTGTCTACAGTCACGACCACTTTTGGCTTCGCAGTAATGGATGGATGGATTCATGAGGGCCCGTACGTGTTTGGCTTGGATGACAGAGACGACGGACACATGACATTCCAGAACTCGTCAGATCAATGAACTTGCATGTGTTTGATGGTCGCTGCTGTATGAAAGCGTCACAGGCTCTCAAATCACACGTATCCACCACCACAGTTATCGAGCACGGCAGCCAACCAGCCAACCTGTACAAGATACATGGCACCTTCGTCCACGCCATGCACTACGTTATCCAGCATCCTGATTAGAGATAAAGAATAAAGTATGACTGCTCCATCTCGATGGCAGCAGCCTGAACCAAGGAACAGAGCAACGACACATACAGATGGAGTTCCCATGCACGTGTATGCGCACCCTGCCGTTGTTTTCCCTGTTGGCTCACTTACCACGGCCCAGTTGTCTACCGCGCTCGACGCATGGTCGGCCTCCCACATATACCATGCCCGTTCCGATACGCTGCATATGAGAAAAGGACCACAGCAACATACATGTGTGAATGCTGGTGTGCGTCTGCTCCGTCAGTCGTCTGTGTCTCGCCCTCCTTACTGCTGGCGCATGGTCGTCTGGAGAATGATGCCATCAGTCTGAATGGCCCTCTCAACCACGACAAGGGGCGGGGGCAGCTGGGCGGGCGGCAGGTCAATGACGGCGGGCTGGGCGCCTGCAGTCAACCAAGGGAGAGACAAATGCGTTCACACACGTCCATCATAATGGATAAATGTCCTTGTTCGGTTGCTCACCATCGTCAGCCACGCCATCCTCGGGCACTACCACCTCGCCGTCGTGCCCATTATAGCCCTCCTCCTCATTGACGCCGGCAGGCTCGCCCTGGGCGATGGCAGGGGCGAAAGCCGCTGCTGCTGCGGAGGACGCACACACACAAGTGAAAGTATCTGTGAGTCCATGTGTAGGCCTGGATGAACGTTCTCCCCTCTCGTCATACCGGGGGCATCCGAGTCGTCAAAGTGAGCCATATTGGACTCAGGGACCGACTCAAACGCACCAGGCACTGAATACGGACCAACAGACAGACGTATGGCACATGTGGCCATGAACGTCCCTTCGTTTTTGGCTCACCCGTGTCAGTATTGTTGTCGGCCACAGGGCGGCCATAGCCGAACTCAGCCCCGCAGTGGGCCGGGCTGGTCTCAAACGCTGAATGACAACGCGGAATGGACAACATGGATGAGTGAGTGAGTGAGTGTCTTTGTTAGTTGCGTGCATACCTGGCTGCCACACCGGCCGGCCCCACGGCGACATCTGACTCGGCGCCGCTTCCACCTGTGTAGCATTGACGGGCGGGGGCAGCTGGGCGGGCGGCGGCAGGTCGATGACGGCGGGCTGGGCACCTGCAGTCAACCAAGAAAGGGGAGATGAATGCGTTCACACACGTCCATCATGATGGATGAATGCCCTTGTTCGGTCGCTCACCATCGTCAGCCACGCCATCCTCGGGCACTACCACCTCGCCGTCGTGCTCATTGTAGCCCTCCTCTCCGTAGACGCCGGCCAGGCCCTCGCCGCCTGTCTGCGAATGTGGCTCGCCCTGGGCGATGGCAGGGGCGGGAGCCGCTGCTGCTGCGGAGGAAGCACACACACAAGTGAAAGTATCAGTGAGTCCATATGGACGTTCTCCCCTCTCGTCATACCGGGGGCATCCTGATGGAGTGCCTCCATCATCTCGCAGCGCTTCTTCCACTCGGCCGCCATGGCTTTGTAGTATCTGAACGAATAGTTGCCGTACACGGGGCAAGAGAGACATGAGAACACAATGTCATATCATGTCGACATGTCTTCTTACTGGATTTGACGGTCCCGCTTGTCGAGCTCGGCCAGGTATTGACTGTGCTGCTGGTCCTGCATGAAGGACACACACAAAGGGGAAGGATACGTACGTCACATGAATGAGATGAGCGGGCGCTTCGCTCATGAGTGGACACATACCAGCTGTCGCTGCGTGGAGTATCTGTAATATTCCTTGGCGGCCTCGCTCTTGTTTCTGCATGGACGTCAAAGGAAGGAAAGGCAACACATCCACACCCATATGTACAGACAACATCTACCTTGTCTGTCATACTTACATTTCCTCTCGACAGTACTGAGAGTGGCGGGCGAACATGGCGAAGGTGGGCGCCACGGCGGGCTTGACGGCCTCTGGCTTCTTGCTGCTCTCCGTCACGGCCACATATACGATGCCGGCCAGTATTGACAGGCCAAGCCCCAGCAGGACGTAGAGCAGCCTCTTGAGCATCCTGTCGGCGGGGCACTCGGGGCATTGCTGGGCGCTGTACACTGTGAAAGTGGTGGT